CCAGTTCAAGAAAGATGAGGAGCCACTGGAGAGAGTCCAGCGGAGGGCTATGAGGATGGTGAGGGGACTGGAGGCTCTCTCCTGTGAGCAAAGGCTGAGGGATCTGGGCTTGTTCAGCCTGAAGAAGAGAAGGCTGAGAGGGGACCTTATAAATGCCTATAAACATCTGAAGGGTGGGTGTCAGGAGGATGGGGCCAGACTCTTTTCAGTGGTGCCCAGTGACAGGACAAGGGGCAACGAGCACAAACTGAAGCAGAGGAAGTTCCAACTGATGAAGATGGGGAAGAACTTCCTTCTGAGGGTGATGGAGCACTGGAACAGGCTGCCCAGAGAGGTGGTGGATTCCCTTTCCCTGGAGATATTCAAGACCCGTCTGGACACTGTCCTGTGCAGCCTGCTGTAGGTGACCCTGCTTCGGCAGGGGGTTTGGACTAGAAGATCCTCAGAGGTCCCTTCCAACCCCTGCCATTCTGTGAAATGTAGTCATGGTCCTGGGTTTAGTCTGTAGACTCCTCATAGGCTGACGTGATTGTCTTAGCTTGCCACACTCACTTCTTGAACATCTTTTCTCTTTCAGATTGAAACCATTGGGAAGAAGGTGTCAGCCAAAAGAATTCCTTTTGCTTCTTCAGGTGAAATTCCCAAGTTCAGCCTGCAGGATCCACCTGTCAAAAAGCCTAAAGTATAATGTTTAATAGGTGCTGGAGGAATTCTGTGGACCTTCTTAGTGATAATAACTGTAAGCCTATGCTTTTTTTAAGGAAAGATATTTTTCATAAACTAAAAACCAATTTTACACCAGAAATGGTACATGTTAATTTAGTCTATTTTCAAATTTCTATTTTTATAGCAATTTTTTTGGTTACTGAAGATGGTACAGACCTGTTTTTAATACGGAATCATCTTTTAAGTGGAAAAGTTACCTTCAAACTGCAGACTTCTGCTTCCAGAAATGTTTCTAAACTGCACTTTAAATGTTTCAAGTGATATGGAAGCAAAAGAAATGGAACGCTTTTTACTTTAGTCCAGTTATGGACAATGATCAGGAATTTTGGTCTCACCAGTTCCTCATTTTCTTTTTGGATAATTCTTTGCCCAGTTAGATGCTTGTGCTGACTGAGATTGAAGTCAGAAGAAGTTGAGTGAATTTGGTAGGATTTGGGCTGAGCCCTGAAGTAGAGCTGACTGCAGCAGTAAAACCCCGATCCTGGCTGGGATCGGTGCGCACTGATGTGGTCTAAACTACATCTGTTGGGAAGCCAGGTAATTCTCCAGGCATCTATCATGTAACCAATGACAACGGACTAGCACCTGTCAACTGATCCACTGGCAGATCTTTACTTTCAATTCTTTGGTTGTTTTGCCTACATTCCATGTGCAGCCACATAAACTATTGATCTAATCAGATTCCCGGGGCAAGTTTTTCCTAGTTGCAGCAGTACAACCCATCTTCAGCAGCGGAGCATTCTGCTTCTTTGAACATTGAATTTAAGCAGAATTACCTTAATTTGATGTTAGTCCACGTAGAAAGCAAATATTGGTTTCAAAGGTACCTGTTGGTTATCTTTTTCCTTCCTTTCTCCTTAAATACTTCATCTGAAAGCAGCTTTCTTAACGAATCTACAAAAATTATTCTCTGCTGTTAAAGAAATCATTAAAAATAAAAATTCGGCCCCATAAGTTTATCTTGATATTTTTGCCTGTACAATTACTTTATTTCAACTTGGTTTTTTTATTGTCAATTGGCCAGTGCTATTAAAATCCTTGAGATGACAAAATTTGTGTTTGGCTTGTTGCGTGGGGTTGTGAAATGGCGGGGGGGGGATGACCATGAAGACATATACATCTTTGTGGTGTTGGGATGTTAGAGAATTATCCTGTAACCAGTCACATAACACCTTCTGAATTTATTCAACAGGCATGCCTTCCATTATCCTATATCAGTAGTTAAACAGAGCACAAGATCAGTGTCATCTTGGTAATGAGCGCTGTCTACATTCCTGTGGGTAAATAGTTATGATGATACAACTTCAGCTTTAGGACAGATGCTCCAAGATTTAAGGAACTTGTATACGCCAGTTTGGGTAGACAATACAAGACAGCGTTACCTGACTGAAATAGCTGTATCCTTCAACCAGATGCTTTCAGAGTCTGCACGTTAATGGCTTCCACATCAGGACTGACTTTACAGCAATCATGTGGCACTCTGGGCAAATATGGCTTAGGCTTTTTATCTTATTTTAAGACTCTCCTGCAAGGAGCGTGTCAGAAGCCATTCAAAATGAGTGGGAATTATGGGGCTTAAAGTCAAAACTGTCATTTTCCATCATGCCCTTTCCTCTTCCTGATTCACTACCGCTGCTTTCATACAACACCCACAGAACAGGGTCAACGCTGTGATAGAGTTGTGATAACCTAACTGGCAGATTGCCCAGTTTTTGCAGGTAGGCATCCTCTTGAGGACCTCTGCCCCCATAGCACCTGAGAGGGCAAGCTGGTCACTTCTCTTTGGGGATTACGAAGAGAGTACTGACACATTGTGCTTGAAGGATCTCCTGTCCTAAACTACGTTCAGGGCAGCACAGCACTGCTTCAGGGCTCATCTTAGTGCGAAGGGTCTGCAGAGGCTTCAGAAACTCAGGATGCTTTTCAGAAGCTTGCACACAGCTGCAGTGGGAGTGCCTCTGCATGGGACTTGTCCTCATCATTTTGAAGTGGATGGATGAACCATTGAAGTCCTGTGTGAAGCATTGCTCCTGTTAGGAATGTGTGAGGCTGGTCAGAGTTCCCAGGGCTTCCTGTGGCTTTTCACACACCGTCCCAAGGGGACACGGGGAACTAGGTGCTATACCCCTATTCCTACCCTGTTTCTTCTGCAGGCTTAGTCAAGGCCTGGATGGTAACTTCTGGCTTAGTCATAAAGATGATAAAGAATGGGCAAGTTCATTGTAGTGGGATCACTGTAACTCCCCTTTCTTAGGGAAGGGGGAGCGGCAGATCCTTTCTGAAGAGCAACACAGGGTAAAACTAGTACTGGTATTTCCCTTGCTTTCTTGGAGAGTCAGCTTATTTAGTTTCTTGGTGGCTGCGTTCTTTGAGTGGGACACTGGGATTATGGGATGAATTCAGTCTGAACAGCTGGTGGAGCATGCCTTCAGGATACTGCACTCGTTACCTCGCGTAGGTGCAAGAGAACCCCACCGCAGGCCAGAAGAGCGAGCTTCGGAAGGAGCTTTGGCAGCGCTGTGCATCGTAAGCCAGCATCTTCAGTGCAGTTGCCAGGGAAATAAGAGTTGAAGATGACTTGCATTCCTGCTTTGAAGTCTTGAGTCGTGCATGTAAGAGATGGGTTTAGTGCTATTGAGTCTTTGTGGGATCTTACCACACGTAATTCTTGATGAGAATTGTGCGAGTAGTGGATTCCTGTGCTCTGCAATGCTTTTTTAGGGGGTTCTTAATAAAATGCCATCCCACAGTTACACTGCTTTTACTGCAAAAATGTGAATACAACAGCTGAAGCAAATCCAGCTTTAATACAAGCCTATGAACAGCATGATACAGACTGCATAAATTTGGTCTTACCCAAGGCGTGCACAGACAAAGTGTAAATGCCAGGCAAGAGGTACTGTTTTTCCTCTCTATGTGTGTTCAACCCTTTGTGCAGCCAAAAGTAGTCTGGTCCCGGGCATGTGATAGCCAAGAATATTGCAAGGGAATAGAACAAACACATTTTTGACAAAGACTAGTTAGTATAGGAGCACTTCGTGGTGAGATTTTGTACTGACCAACGAGTTTACACTTCTATCTGCTGAGATTCTTCTGTTGATCTAGAATTTATAGTAGTGCTGTAACCTTGCTCACTAGCCAAAGTCTGAAATGAATTGTAAAACAATGCAGGAAAGTATAATGGGTTGTCTCATTGATTTAGGAATACTGGAGTCAGTTTTCATCTCTAGCTTTTTCTATTCCAAGCTGAGAATATCTGTTGGAAGTTGAGTATCTGCAGTAAGTTGCCACATGTTATAGTAAAGAACCATAAATACTTGACCTTCTTAAACGAAGGGGACACCAATATTAATTATTAATGAAGTGTGAAAAAAAAATTTAAACCTATTATTAAATAAACACTCTGGCTTTGTTGATTTAACCTAAAGGCTTGAAGTCACTGGAAGATGCAGCCATTCTCGAGTCAGCTGCATAGCGTTTAATTAAGCTTCACACAGTGTAGTAGATTAATGTAATGATGCTAAAAAAGACTTCATTCTTTTAAAGTGTCTGTGTCAACTTGAAATCATATTCCTAAAACTCAGTTCCCTGTTTTCCTGATTGCAAGGAAGACTAATGTTTCTTAAAATATTTAATTTTTATTTTATGTCTGCTTTGTGAAACAAACTGACAGAATGAAGTGATTGACATATAAAATGACACTAAACATAAAACTTCATTGGAAACAAAATGGAGATAGTCGTGAAGCCTGGGCTGAATTTATAACCAGGAGTTCTGTGAGTGTTTTGTGCTTTCACATATAGTTACAGAAAAACTGAATAGGTAATAGGGAAGGAAGATGGTTGTAAAGCAGGATTTCTTAACTAGGAAAAGAACTTTAGGACTTGTCTGCAAACATTCTTAAAAATAAAACACCCTGCCAATCTATGAAGTCAAAACGTGACTGCTTTCCTTAGAAACCACAGCAAAACATGCAGTTAGAAAATGGCTCATGTAGCTTCTGAAACTTGGTACCAGCTGGCAGACAGTTGTGTAAAAGCATGAGATCATCTTCCAAGCCACCCAGCAGCAATTCGTAAGATAATTCTAACATGAAATAACATTGGACTGTGTTTCCAGAAGCATTATTTCTCCCACTGTAAAGAAGCGATGGATAATTACTGTGCAATGTCCCCTTGTTCCCATTTGGTAATAGCTGTATGGCTCAGAATTCCTTTTTCCATGTTTCTGGTGTTGATATGCTGAAAGAGCAGTAACTTGGCAAAAGCTACAGTAATATTCTGTTAAAGCTGCTCTGTAGGCAAGTCAAAACCATTATTTATAGCAGGACCTCTAATAAAGGCTGCCAGCTGTGAAAGGTGTGGGTGTCTTCTTGTTAATGCTGCACCCCTCCCTGCCTGCTGCTGTGGAGGGAGTATTGAATTGCCTCACCACAGCCGATAACCTTCCACTGCCCTGGTGTTCAGCTGAAGCAGGGCATTTTTGGCTCAAAGTATGTCTGGTCTTTCCAAGACTAGCATTCAGACTTTTTTTTAAATTTAAATTTTAAAATGTTATTAATACTTCTTCAATTAAAACAAAAGCAGCAGCCTGGCCTTTCTCTCTGCGTTTACAGAGTACAGCTATTAGGACTTCTGTTTCTCTGTTCTTCCCCTCTGTTCCTCATGGCTCAGGTTTCTCTTCCCCTAATTTACACTTCCATTAGACTGTTTAATCAGTACATTCCTTCTAGATTAAGGCTATTTGTCTTTATAATGCTTTAATATTGCTATACTTCATTTTGTGAAGTGTCAATTGTGCATCACTGGCCTCAGTGGTATAATCTGATTTGTGCTGTTCATGACACTACCAAGTTTCTCCTATATATGAACTTGCAAATTAGCTGTCTTCCTTCTAACACCTTGCTGAGTAGGGGGTGGGTGGAGGGTCCACCCTCCTTCACATAGACTACAGTAGTTTTGAATTCAAAAGTACTGCAGCCAGCCATAGGACTACCCACGATGAGTTTGGGACCAGAGAGCAAATTCCTGGCGTGTTTTCCAAATAACTTCATGAAGGTACAGCTGAAGCCAGTTCAAAACTGGTATCAAATGCCCACAGCAGACAAATGCAAATCATTAGGGAGAGATGCACTCTGAACTACTGTGACTGTAAAGAGAAGCATTTACAGCTGCCAGTATACCATAAGCCGTGTTTCTGTTTCTGCTTGAGCTTAGTGCAATATGTAATGGATTTCACATTTCATCCATGATGCCGTTCACTTCTCTGCGTTCAGATTTAACAGCCAGACCAGGTCTCAAAGGGGCAGGTAACCAGCCCAATCAAACACAACCACCACACCCTCAGACGGGGGGTTTTAACTTTTCTTTAATGATAAGACAACACCTATGGAGTAGAAGCACGGTACAGAATAGCAGCAGTTCTGCAGACCCAGCACTGAAGAAGCACCTGCGCAACTCAGCGGCGTCTGTTACAGTCATTCACCCAAACTAGGGGTGGCTCCATGAGGTAAAACAATGGCAAAATAACTGTTGTGATGGCAACTCTGATTCTCCATATGGTTTAAATTATATGGTAAGTGCACAAGGTTAACTGTCTTGCCACAAAGGGCTCCTGTTTTCTTCAACTTGATACCTTGTGTTTACCAAGGCTCACGCTGAGACATGCACGCACCTGAAAAGCATTAGCTGTCGGAATGGTATAGCTCATTTTCTTAAGACACAGGTAAGGAACACCATCTCGTGAAGGAGTAGTACTGATACTTTCTCTGGTGTGGTTCAAGACAGCCCTAATCCGGTCCTTTGCCATGTACGCCAGCTCTCTTTAGAGCTCCTCAAGTTCCCTGAGCCCCTGCAAGCTTGTGTTACCTAACGGTAGGATACACCAAAGTATCAGTACCTTTCAAACCACTTGCTGTTAGTATCTTCACCAGTATGAATGGCAGCAATACTAATGGTAGTACCAAACCTGGTTACTCAAATCTGGCCAATGTTTTTTTTTCAGCTTAAATTTCTTCCACCTCAGTTCCATCACTCTTTCAAAATCACTTCTATCTTCCAACTTTTCACTGAACACTAGAAGTACTATGTGGTTGTAGCCTTGCCAGGAGAAATGAGGTAAAACAATGTGAAACATTTCAGTGAGAGAAAAGTGTTCTGGAAAGATAGTAAGTTTATTCATACATGCACCATCTGCTCTTCTGCATGTCTGGAACTGAGCATAATTCTGCACTGAAAAAAGGATCCTCAGAATCAGCTGCTTTAAATAGGTTCACTCTCGTTTTCAGATAGCTTTTGTCTTTCTTTTTTCTACTAAGTTCTTCAAGAAGAATTCACCTGTTAAAAGTCAAAAAAGTACCAAAATTATTTGTAGGTATTTCAATGAAATAAAGTAAAATAATACACATTTAATGTGAGTATTCTACCCTACTAGACAACTGTTCTTCCCACTATTTTATAGTGATTCAGTTCTACACAACAGTACTTTCAGTACCTATAGCAAGGACGTAAAACCAACTCAGACCAAAACCTATAACCCAGCAAACAACTTCTCCGCCCCCAAAGTTCTGGTTTTCCTCGTGTCTAATTGTATGAAATCGCTCTGCTTCTTTGTGCTTTCCAACAGACAAAGGTCAATTGATTTAATTAAAAATTAATTCATATTTCATAAGTATCAGCAATTCACAGTGAAACCTGCCATAAAGCTTGTTTGAGCTGCCATTAAACGTCTGAGAAGCAAGGTGCCCCAGATGAGTCTTCTCCGCTCTCTCCTTAGGAAAAAGCAGGATGCTGGACCTACACAACAGCTCCACTAATACCAGCTGCTCCTTAATACCCAGTGCTCTGTCAGAAAAAGCACTGCCATAACTGTGCCTAATTCGTTGTAGGGCACCGTAAATAAATTCTGCCGAAAGCAACAAAATTACATCACAAACAACAAAGGGCCCCACTAAAGCATCCAAGAGTCAGAACGTAAAGGAAAACATGCAAATTGGGTACCTGTTATCCTGCCTCATGCGTTAAGTATAGTACAAACTAGGTTTGGCAAAAAATTATCTTAAGCAGCACGGCAATTGTACAAATACCAATTACTATCATACTGATGTATTTAGATGACCTATAGAAGACAGTAAGTGTAAATAACTGAAAAAAAAAAAAAGACTATATAAGGGGGCCTTGAGCTAAGGTGAGCTTTGTTGCATATCACTTCACCATTTTAACTTTATGTAATAAAATGTTATGTGCTAAAGAATCTAATGCTTTTCAGTAACTTACCTGCTTTGTAGGAGGAGCGCACTAACGGCCCGCTAGCAGTGTAATGGAATCCAAGATAATTTCCTACTTTTTCCCAGTACTTAAATTTTTCGGGAGTTACGTACTCCTCAACCTCAGTGAAAAGAAATTAATTTTGACCAGGTATTAATGCAAAGGAAATGGCTATAGCTAGCATGCAGTCACATGAAATGCAGTTACACTGCAAGTTCAAAATTTTACACTACAAAACTTTCCGCAGTCAAGTCACAAACTGAATTTTCTGCTTTCTGCCAAAAGAATGCATTTTATCTACTTTTCAGCTGAAAAGTTTAGAATTTATTTCTAGTTATTATTTTCTTCACTCTGTTTTTGAATGGTCCTTTTGAGCAAACCTTTTTTTTTGCCTCCAAGTTATTAAAAAAAAATACAATAGTCCTGCAAATCTCTTCACTAACCATTATTTCAGTGAAATACAGTAACAGAACAGAGGCTCGAGCTCTGGACAGATTACAGCAGGAAAAAATGGTAATTTCCCCAGCTGAAGTGGCACCATTAAGGCAGAGCCTATGAGATACTGCAGGGGAGCCGGCTTGAGCCATCACGTTTGAGACATACACTGAAACTCTTGTTTCCAGAGTCACGCCTCAGCTCCAGCTGCCTCCCCAGCTAACAGCAGGAAGTAGCAATGGGAAGTCTGCAGAAGGGATTAGATGGCTGAGGTCATCTTTAGCGAAGAGTCCGTAACAGATTCAGACCAGGTTAAACAAGGAAGGAAATGTTTCCCAACATCCGCAGTTAAGGTAAGGATGCATATCAAGCCTCCATTCAGAAAGAGGAAACTTGACTGTGCAAGGTACAGACCATAACGCTGCCTGTAAATTAAAGGCGTTTTTACCTTCAGGTGACGCTTTGTTGGTTGCATGTACTGTCCTAGGGTCAAGCAGTCTACATCTGCTTCCCGCAATACTGTAAAAACAGAATTCCCTCTCAGTGGCAGCAGGATCACAAGGGATTGTCAGCCATTAGAAACCCCCCTCCCTTCCAAGTCGGAACAAAGGTCACTCTGCAGCACGCTGCGGGGGTTGCGTTCTGCTCTCCAGCAACAGGAGCTTACAGCCTCCATGAGGAGTAGCCACGTGCCTCACTCTGAGCTCCATGTCACTGCAAGACCCGAGCTATCTAGTTTAAACCGAGAGAGGATATCATTGCCCTGCGCTCACTGCAGAGGTGACATGCTCTTGCCTGTTTTATCTTACAGGTTTTCATTGTGTCTTTAGGTCAGTGCTTTTAATCGAGAGTGCTTGGCACCTCTCCGCTGTTTCAAGAGACTTCATGCTGAAAAGATGCGGACAGTTCTAAAGAGCTATAAATCAGGGGAAACTGCCAACATCTTTTGCCCGTTTTGCACACTTAGGACACTTAGGATGTATGTTAGTTTTGATGCCTGCAGAATCTCATAAACCTTGCTAAAATTTGAGTATATACTAGAATCAATGTATAGCAAATGAGTTCAGGTAGTCTGCTCACAGAGGGAAATTCAGACACCTGACAGTCAGCTAGCCTGAAGGATTAAGCTCCCTGAAGCTAGCGGGGTATTCTGAACAAAGGGATGGCTGAGGAATCAGATTTTGCATGAACACGTCCACATCTTTTCTGGCTACTTGGGCTGGTTGCCCCATGTCAAATGGGAAGAAAAGACGGTGTTTTGACTCCGGCGTTACACACACTGCTACCCTGGAATCCCTGTTTCGACTGATATGGTTCTGTAAAGAAACTGGTTCAATATCAGCACATTCAAGTGTTCTTTAATTCGTACCCAGATGAGGGAAGGGGAACAAAATCAGACTAACTGAATGAACGTGGCGGGTAAAGCTTGGCTCCACATACATCCATGAAAGTGACCTGAAAACAAATACCACCAAATCTGAACTTTCATACTCTCATGGCTACGAAACGCTAGGCAGGAAGAATGTGAAAGTCAGGAACTGTAATTTTATGGTCCAGAGTATGGGACAGCTGCACAAAAACTAGACTACATCATTGCATTCTAAATCCAAGTTGTTGTACACAAAATAAAATACCAGGTAGACATTCTTTCAGGATATGGAAGAAAAGCCATAGGACTTCAGCTCCTTGCATTCACTTACCGCTGTGAACTTTTCTCCTCTTCAAAACACGTTCATACAAAAACATGAGAACGTGCTACAACTCCAAGGATAATAACAACGTTTTTACATCTAACTAAACCAAAAGAAATTATTTTAAACAATAAGGTCTGCTATCTCTAAAAAGGAATGCACAATAAGGCAGCTATGTTGCAAGCCCATTATTTAAGTATTCCGAAGATAAGCATGTTAATACAGTCACACAAAGATAGTTCTAATTTCCACTGAAATCAACAGGAGGTGGCTCTACCTGTCAAATTGAATTTGAAAGCCATATGAAGACAAAATATTTCAGGAGTTCAATCTTTTTTAAACAAGCTTACCCCTCCCCCCCCCCCCGGCTTAAAAAATATTTCCTTCACTGGCAAACTGATTTGCACGAGAGGTAAAAACGCTCACAACTGTTTTCTAACACAAGAAAACTCATACTGGTGAATTCTGGCATGTATTTCACCACCAACTTACATTTCATTGTGGAGTATACTTGTTCATCTGTCTCGCCTAGCCCCAGCATAAGGGAGGTTTTGGAAATGACGCCGGGCTGGACCTCTTTAGCGTGCTTCAGCACCCGTATGGACTGCTCAAAGCTGGCTCGGGGGTCGCGCACCTTCCTTTTCGTGTTTTCAGCGCAAGGAGAAGAAATGCATGAAAGGGCGCACAGAAGTTAAGAGGCGCCAAGAAACCCGCGTTCTGCTCCTACAGAGCGAAAATGGCAGCGCAGAGGTTTCAGCCGCTTGATACGGCACCGGCTGAAATGGCCCCAAAGCACGGCGAGCCAGATTCCTGGGGGCTTCAGGACCAAAACCGGACTCCGCGGTTCCCCGGCCC